CTACTTTTTTCCTATTCATATCTACCTGTGATAAAGTTTAATATCTAAAATAGGTACAGTAAGAAATTAATAATAAAAAAGAACACTTGTAACAGTATACTGTAATAGAAGTTATGTGAATATGGTCTCTCACTCCAGAATAACTTATTGAATGTAATATTTTCAGACCTTGGTGGACTATAACTGAAAGAGTAGAAATTGAAAGCAAGGATAAGGAAGAATACTGTAATAAACACGGTCTTCCTTGGCTCCCAGGGGATTACACTCTTCTACAGTATCTCCAGTACCTTCGTCTCTGTCTTCTTCTCTTGCTTCGCTTTCTCTACCAACCAGAAGTGATTAGATGCTTTCCATATTTGGCTTTGACCCTATTCTCATTTTTAAGGAAACCTCTCTCGATCATCTTACCCACCTCTAAAGCTTCAATAACTAAGGAAAATAAAGTCTTATTAGAATATGTGTGTAATAGAAGAAAAGGGAATAGATGTTTCATTATCCATCTGATGAGGGCATCTTACCCCTTCTTAGGCGTGGACCCCTTTGACAGTCTGATGAAACCTATGCATCATTCCCTGAATCATGCTTTTAAATGTATAAATTAAGATACTTAGGATTGCAAAGGAAACCAAAAATGTTAAAGTGACCAGAATATTTTTGCAAATACATTTATGATATGCTAATGTGTATCCTGCAGTACATATTCATGAAATAACAAGATCTGGTCACTACCGCACTTTCAAAGCAGTGAGAAAGACTTGGAAATGTTGTCTATAACTATATCACAGTATGAATTTTTTTTTTTTTTTGAGACGGAGTCTCACTCTGTTGCCCAGGCTGGAGTGCAGTAGCCCAAACTTGGCTCACTGCAACCAACCTCCACCTCCCGGGTTCCATTATCCTGCTTCAGCCTCCTGAGTAGCTAGGATTACAGGTGCACACCACCACACCCAGATAATTTTTGAATTTTTAGTAGAGACAGGGTTTCACTGTGTTGGCCAGGCTGGTATCAAACTTCTGACCTCGTGATCTGCCTACCTCAGCCTCCCAAAATGCTGGGATTACAGACATGAGCCACCGTGCCTGGCCTGGAAAATATCTAATGGAGACAAAATTGCAAGTTTCATTAATATTCCTGTGGTTTGTTGCCTATGTTCATAACTGGAGGGAATTTTACATTTTAGGTAGAGACTAGGGAAAATAAAGATGTAAAATTCAAATTCGTAGATCCCCTGAATTCTACCCATAGATCTAAGTTTAAGAACACCTGGTCTAAAAATTTCCAAAAGAGATTGGGAAGAGAACCCACAGGGGACAATGTGAAGAAGGGGATGTTATGGAGTCGTCTGTAATTGTACAGTTATACTATATTCCTCCCTTCATATGTTGGTTTATCTGGGCTTCTTGTGACTCCTCTAGTCTTTCTTCATATACCTCTTATATCAAAGTAGAATTAAAACTAGCCAGCTCTTCATTTGTTGGCAGCTGCTGTGTTTTGGCATTGTTTTCCTGGAGGGATGTTTTTGTTTTTTTGTTGAATTGTTTTTTAAGTATATCCAATGGTTGTAGCAGAAACTACGGATTATCTGGGATTGTTTATCCCTGCTATGTCTAGCTTCTATTAACATAGATAATTGGGCTTTAAATGTGAATAGAATGAAGGTATCCAGCTTCAACCTCTGTCTATTGCCTTCAAAGGCCTTGAGGTAGATAAAATAATCCCCTTTCCAACTTGGAACTCTGTCTCCCCTTGACTTCCTGAATGCTGCTTTTTCTTAGACGTCTCTCAGCTTCTCTAATGGTCTCTTCGGAATCCTCTCATCTGTTTCACACTCAACTGCCAGAAAAATGTAGGCGTTTCCCCCACGTTAGGCTTTAGACTGGTTTTCTTGTAGTGTTTTCTTCTTTGATACTCTCTCCCAATCCCCAATTTGCGTTCTTTCCCATGTTCCTTGTCAGTTTTAATGGATCCCAGCTCCCCTCGCCCCAGTTGAGATTTTAACAACACACAACAGGTTATACTATAGTATGTACTTATGGTAGGCACTGGGCATACAATTCTGGACCAGTGAAACAGGTTCCTGCCCTCACACACCCTATCATCTATCAAGGAAGGCCTTGATCAAGTAATTTCAAGAGTGACATGTAGGATGAAAGGGAGGAGCAGGTCACTACAGAAGTTGGTAATAAGGAGAGCTAGCCTAGTTTGGGGGTATACGGAAGCCAATCAGAAGAAGTGAAGTTTCGACTGGAACATTAAAGGTTAACTGTGAGATGGCTCAATAACCAGTGTAGGAATTGGGATTAGGAAGATGCACGTGGAATGCGAAAGTCTAAAAGCAATAGCAGGGAAGGAAGATGTCAAACATGGCTGTGGTATGAAATCCACAAAGGGTATTTGAATCCAGTGAAGCTGCAGAGAGGCAGGCCACGTTCGTAAATCCTTGTCAACAGGGGCGCCTCAAGGGCATCATCCTGAAGACAGTCGGGAAGTCATTAGGCAGCAGGCAGAGTGGCCGGATTCACATTTTTAAAAGATTAATCCAATTTCAGTAGCGAAAATGGTTTGGAGAAAGGCAGGAACCCATCTGAGGAGACCACTGGAGGGGGTTATAGAGCCCAGTTAAGAGACAATTTGTTGGCTTTGCAAGAAAATGTAAGTCCTCATTGTTTCTGCTTTGCCTGCCCCTCATACCTTTAAGATCTGGTCTCTAAAATAACTGGGCTTTAAACGTGATAGAATGAAGACATCCAGCTTCAACCTCTGTCTGTTGCCTTCAAAGGTCGTGAGGCAGATAAATGGAAAAGCTGCTTGCTGCTTTTCTTTCTCATTCAGCAAATTCAAGCTTCTTTTCCGCCCCCACCCCCCAACCCCGGTCTGTTGCAACAGCTTTACTCTCTACTGCCTTATCTTCCATTTCCCCTTCCTCCATGCACGGCGTGCTGTCAGAGTTAGCCCCCTAAAACACACGTGGTTGCTCCCACATGCATCAAAATTAAGTCCAAGCTCTTCTCCCTTGTTCACAGTCTCTGCGGTGTGGTCCCTACACAGGCTGCTGGCTTTCTCCACCATCGGGAGCTCCCACCACAACTTTCCTGCTTCATGCTCCCCTTGCCTCACTAACTCACAAGTATTCAGACAGGCTATGTTTTACAGACTCCCCCCTCCCTCCTAGAATATCTTTCTCTTCCAACTCACTCATAAGAAATTTGCATCTTTGAAGACTAATTTCAAGCCCAGTTTCCTGCAGATTTCAAGCCCAGCTTCCTCCTGGATGTCCCCAGTCGGAATTAATTTTTCCTTCCTGCCCTTGTTCCAATGGTTCTTTCAGTGATGTGTTTTTCCTTGGATTAAGTTTCTTACCCTTGTTTCACCATTCACTAGAGTTTACCTCCTATTTGAGACAGTATGTATGAGATAGGCTTTTCCAATAAATTATAAGTTTTTGAGGGCTAGGGAGATTTGTGTTAGTTATTTCTATGTTGCACATAGGGATTTGCCTACCCTGTGCTTATAAAGGCTCAACAAATGTTAGATTGGTTTTTGGGTGGTGGTAGGCTGATTGAACCCCAAAATTGCAAATTTATCTGAGCTACATATCCAGAGCCCATTCTGGTTATAATATTCTAGGTATGCACAAGAACATTTTGCTAACAGTATTGTTTTTGTTTCAAAAGGTGGCTAATCACAAGTCTCAATAAGGGTAACAATATAAGTATTGAGAACTGCTGCATTCTATGTTGAAAGCAGAAATTTATTCTATAAGTATTTCATGAGCCCTAATTATGTCTCTGGCTCTAGTGCATATGACTATGAACAAAACAAATTTGTTTTCTGGATATTTTTATAAGGGCTTGAGGCTTTCTCCATCAAGATTACAGGCCAGGTACAGTGGCTAACACCTGTGATGTCAACACTTTGGGAGGCCAAGGAGGGCAAATCACGAGAGGTCAGAAGCTGTAGACAAGCCTGTCCAACATGGTGAAATCCTGTCTCTTTGAAAAATTTAAAAAACAGTTATATAGGCCTGGTGGTGGGTGCCTGTAATCCTAGCTTCTTGGGAGGTTGAGTTAGGAGAACTGCTTGAACTCAGGAGGTGGAGGTTGCAGTGAGCCACGATTGCACCATTGTACTCCGGCCTGGGTGACACAGCAAGACCTTATCTCAAAGAAAAAGAATTGTAGAAGAATATACATGAATAAATCAAGCTTAATAAAGCTGGAAAAAAATAGTTCATTCCTTTGGTCAGATGTTATCTGTCACCTAACGCAGAAGTGAAAAAAAAATGCAGCCAAGGAAAGGTATGACAACACAATGGATATATGGCCAATATAACAAAAAGAGAAAAACAAACAGAAGATTGCTGATTGCAGCTTACTTAGGGCTTGATTATACTGTAATTTTACCCTTTTCTTGTCTCTGATTTTAATAAAGCCCTGCAGCAAGCAGGTGCTATAATTTTCTTCTCAGTGTCACTTTACACTGTAGACTGGGAAGCATCAGTGGATACTCAGCAATAATAACTGCATTTATTGGGTTCTAATATATGCCCTGCATTGTATTAGAAACTGGAGATATATAAAATTCAATTTATAGTCTCAAATAGCTCGCAGAGTAGTATCTTATATAGGAACTGAATTGCTTCCAGGAAAAAAAATAAAGGAATATATTACTAGATGAGGATGCTTCTGTAGGAAGCTCACAATTTTTTTTGCAGGCAAGATTGAAACTGGACGTTAGAGACATACTCCGTGATTTTCTGAAACATAAATGCAGTGCTCACTATGAAAAAATAGGCCATAAACTCTCAGAACACAATCGATTAGTGGAGGTTAAATATGTAAGAGGAATTTTATGGGAAAAAAATGCAAATTATGAGAAGAGAATACATTCAGAATGAGTAAAGAGTATTTTTTAGATGTCTACTGTATGCATGTATAAAGATCTGTGGCTTCAAATTTGACTAGATTTTGTTTGTTTGTTTTTCAAAATCTTTTCTAAGAATTGCCCTGGTGGAAAATATTCCTGAAGGCCTTAACTATTCAGAAAATGCACCATTTCACTTATCACTTTTCCAAGGCTGGATGAATTTACTCAACATGGCCAAAAAGTCTGTTGACATAGTGTCTTCCCATTGGGATCTCAACCACACTCATCCATCAGCATGTCAGGTAAGCTACATCTTCTGTGTGTGTGATAATTTTACTTATGTGCATTTTACACTCTTTGGCGTTCTCGTCCTCCACTCCTCAAACTCAAGCTCATTTCTTTTAGTCTACCCACACCCTGAGTACACGTACATCACATCATTGCATTTATGTGAATGTGCTGTTGTTAATCATATGTCGTTCAGCGCCTACTCGAATGCCAGGTTTGCAGGGACAAAATCGTGTTTCATCTTTGCCTACAATCGGCTCTTTATACAGAATGGCTGTATTGTACAACTTCAGGGGGTGCTGTTTACATATAATCTCTGTCAACGGCATGGTCCAGAATTCTGCTTCACATAACCTGCGTGTTTACAGTTCTAATTCTGTAACTGCTTACTGATGCATTATTTGGTTAGTTTGTATTATGATTTACCTTTCAAGTTATAATTCACCCACAGCCAAATGTTTTAATAATAGAGTGAAATTTCCCAGGATAGTTATTTTTTCTCAACTGTCATATCTGGGTGAATAGAAAAAAGAAATACTCTTATTTCTTTTAAAAAAAAAAATAAGGCTTAGGAGAACTACCTCTAGAAAATTGACTTAATGATCTGAATAATTTCTGAATAAAAGCTCTGGGTATAAGAAAATGGTGCTGATGTTTTTAGTACGTTTTTCTTTATATTGGTACAACAGTGGTAGTTTACATTAAGCTACCCTATCTAAATATATAGCCATTGGCCTACACTTAACATGTCATATATAAGTCAAGGGTAAAATAAGTTTTGTCTCCTTTTATACAGAATGTACTGGCATTAAGCTTATAATCATGATCTCACTGGTACTTTGAAAGCTATTGAATTTATTCTGTTATACTATGTTAAAGTCAAAAGCTGCTGGAAAATAAAAGCAAACAAAAAACACAAAGGCCATAACTAGTGAAGAATGGAATCAATTTGTTAACTATATTCTACACTTTTCCATCTCTGCTGAAGTTTAAATAAGTGTTTCAGGATTTATCACTACATAGTATCTCCTAAAATATAGTGGTTTAAAAAACAGTATTTATTTATTCATGATTCTGGGCAGGGTTTGGCAGAGAAGACTCATCTCTGATCCACATGGTGTTGGCTGGGTGGCTTAGCTGGGGCTGGAGAATCCTGGATGGCTTTCCTCACGTGTCTGGTATCTCAGCTGGAGTGACTGGAACATCTGGGATGGCTGCAGTCTGCCTGCAGGTTCTCTCATCATTCAGTAAACAATCCTGAATATGGAATCCTGAATATGGTGGCTGGAAACAATCCAACCACCTCTTTACATGGTGGTTGGGTCCTCAGAAGGCAGAGGGCTCTGGAATCCTAGAGTGTTGCTCCCAATCTATTCCATTGGTACAAGCACATCTCAAGTCCAGGATGGGAGAAGCAACATCCAAGTGCAGGAATGAGGATGACTGTGACCATCTTTGAAAATAACATACCACAGCCCACTCTCTGGCTGTAGCAATTCCTATCTCTTCTACATGTAAAACACATTCACCTCATTCCTCGAAATGTGAATTCTACTACATCAAGGGCTCTGGAGGGAAGCCAGAGATCGCCTCTAATACCCCGTCCACTCTGGCTGGATCTACAAATCAAATTGATACCAGGCAGATTGACAGGAGTAAATTTTATTAGTTTTACTCATACATGTGGATCTTCATGAGAGTGAAGTCCAAAGATGTGGCCAAAGTAAGATGTTTTTGTACTTTTTAGACAAAGAACAATAAATTTGGGAAGAAGTGACACAAAGGGGATCTGTGTGGGGGCAGCAAATTTCTAGGGGAACCACTAGGAGATACAGAGGAGGAATAAAACTAGTGGGGGATAGGGTTACTTCATTAAGTATATCCATTTGGGTCCGTGGCAGCCCCCAGTTTTCAGTCTCTGGTGATAGGGGCTATTTTTTCACCCTGGTACAGGGAGGATGTGCTTCTCAGAAGAATCTTTATGGTTTGCTGCATGCAGGAAGAGACAGGTCAGCTATCCTTTACTGAACTACCATTGGCCCAGTGTTTTGCACTTGAAATCATCATCAGTATACCAGTCTGACATATTGTGAGATGCCACATCCTTCAATCCTCACCTCAAAATCCAGAATCTCTTTATTTGCATCAGGTCTGGATCTGAATGAGGCCCCTCACGTGGACTTCTCTTGATTTAGCAACATGTGAACTAAAAAGAATAGTTATATGCCCCCAAACACAGACGCTGAATGTAAAATGCTAAGACAGGGGTAAGGTAACTAGAGATACTTTGGTTCAAAGGGGGCAATTGGAGAGTAGAAGATTGCCTCCTGGAGTGTGTGAGCGCGAGCAGGTATGGCTCTAGACTGGCTAGCTTGCATATGAACGCCTGGCTGAGGCATTCTTACCTCTAAGCATTGGCTAAGCCTTGGAGGGGCAGTCTCTTCTCAGTCAGAAAGGTGTGTGTGTGTGTGTGTGTGTGTGCGCGCGCGCGCGCGCGCACACACATGCGTGCGCTAGCACATGTGTGTGTGCACGCATGTGTGCATTTTTAATTGATGCATAATAGATATACATCATTTTGGGGTACATGTAATAATTCATTATTATAGTTTGTAGAGATCCAGTCAGTGTACTTTGGGAATTGATCACCTTAAACATTTGTCTTTTCTTTAGGCCAGAACCATTCAAATTCTTCCCTGAAGACAGAGCCTTGCTTTGTCACCCAGGTTGGAGTGTAGTGGTGCGATCTCAGCTCACTGCAACCTCTGCCTCCTGGGCTCAAGTGATTCTCCTGCCTCAGCCTCCCAAGTAGCTGGGATTATGGGTTCATGACACCATGCTCAACTAAGTTTTCTTATTTTTAGTAGAGATGAGGTTTCACCTTGTTGGCCAGGCTGGTCTCGAATTCCTGACCTCAAGTGATCCACCCGCCTTGGCCTCCCAAAGTGCTGGGATTACAGGCATGAGCCACTGTGCCCAGCCCCCTTCTACTTATTTTGAAATGGACAGTAGATTATTGTAAACTATATTTACCCTACTATCTATCTAGTACTAGGTCTTATTTCTCCTACCAAACTGTATGTTTGTGTCTGTCAATCAAGTTCTCTTCATCGACCTCCCACGCTTCCCAGCCCAGAAAGGTTTTTTTAAATGTCAGAATGTCATAATATACAGAAAATTATACGCCGTACAGAGCCCTTTTGTTTGGCTAAGAAGGCCATAGACACCCACCACCTGAAGTCATTTCTTACTTCAAGAATGTTGTGGTGAGTCGAGACACCAACCTCGATTCTCTACATTTTATCTAAATTCTGCAGGAAAACTAAACAACTCCTTCTTTAGTTTATCTCGCTCTTTGTACCCCTCATTATATACTGCAAAAATTTATAATCTGCCTGAAGAATTTCAGCTGGCTTCACAAGTCCAGTAGTTGTATTTTCTATGTTCTACTTTATAGCAGGTGGACTATTGCCAGCACTGTGCCATCACATCATGCAGACAGGCCTTTCTCAAGACTTCAAAAGCAACTTCCTGGCTGTTCTTCCAGCCTTGAATAATAGGAGCAGAGGCCAACCTCTACCATGACCCAATCCCACATGGCTTTATTTGTTTACTTATTTATTTTTTTGAGATGGAGTTTCACTCTGTCACCAAGGCTGGACTACAGTGGTGTGATCTTGGCTCACTGCAACCTCCATCTCCTGGGTTCAAGTGATTCTCCTGCCTCAGCCTCCTGAGTAGCTGGGATTGCAGGAACTTCCCACCACACCTGGCTAATTTTTGTATTTTTAGTAGAGATGGGGTTTCACCATGTTGACCAGACTGGTCTTGAACTCCTAACCTCAAGTGATTCACCTGCTGTGGTCTCCCATATGACTTCAGGTTTTTATATAGTAGTTTCTGTTTCGGTTACCTATGCCATGTAACAAACAGCTACAAACCATATTCTTCATTGTGTCCTACAATTCCGCAGGTTGGCTGCACTATCCTTTTGCGCCAAGAGCGCTCGCTGGAATCGCTCACACAGCTGCACGTAGGGGCTGGGCCGTCTGAAGGCTAGCCAGGTCTCATGCTCCCCAAGTGGACTCTCTTAATTCAGTAATTTAACCCAAGCTATATATAGGGCAGCTGGGTTCCAACAGGATGAAAATATAAACTATAAGACCTCTTAATGCCTGGATTCCTGGAACATTTGCCACATTCTGTTAGTCAAAGCAAGGCACAAGGCCAGTCCTCAGGGGAGGGGCAGTAGACCCCGGCAGTAGCATGCATGGGAGGAACTGTTGAAAGCTGACATTGGAAACAATCTACTGGAGGTGATCTGGTAGTGTGAGCAAGAGATAGTTCAAGTCGTCTTTCCTTAATCCTAGGAAGGCCAGTACATAGCCACTAAATGCAACAGGAGCTGCAAGCTTAGTTTGATTTGGGGAACCATGCAGTGGGCCCTGACCAGCACAGGCAACCGTGCTGTGTGAGCACGGGCTGTTAACAGCTCCTTTCCACCTCATGTGCTCCACAGAAGAGCCAGGTGTGTTAAACACACAGTAGGAAGATTTGCATTTACGCTTGGACTTGACGACCTGATTATCTCTTTTCTGCTATGCTGTGCCTTGGGAATGCTGACTTTTTCTCTTCAACTACAACGTTGTTTTTCCTGAGTGGCTTTCTTTTTCCCCTATGCTTTACCATTTCTCTCTGACCCTACCCTAAATCCTGGTTGGTTTTCAGTATCTATAATCAATCTAGATTGGAGCTGATTGGGCTGGGACATCCTAGGTAATGTGCAGCATTCCCCAGGGGTGCTCAATAAGTCTGTCTGCAGGACTCAGAGGATTTGGGGGGCTGAGGCAGTAATGCGGGGCACCCTGTGGTTTGGTCAGCACTGAGGATTGTTGTGAGGTGGTTCATACGACTGGAGCAGATGCTATGCAGGCAAAGTTCACATCCCTAGGAGGGTGACTTCGCCTCCCATCTTTAAAAGGGGCATGATCTTCCAGTGCAGTCTGAGGATTTC